TCTCCAATTTCGGGTTCATCTCTACCAACAAACAAGAGACCATGAGATAGAATATAAAATTCTTCTTCTCTAATTTCGGGTTCATCTCTACCAACAAACAAGAGATCAGGAGATAGAATATAAAATTCTTCCTCTCCAGGAGTGGGTTCATCTCTACCAACAAAAAAGAGACCATGATACTCTAATAGGTACACGAGTCTAAACTGTTTTCCTACATTCGACAGGCAGTTTCTGGAGAATATTATTCTGAATATTCTTAAGGATAACCTGACAAACTCTCGAAGGACATACAAGTATCAATTTGGTGACAAAAGTCAAAGAGATACCAACTTCGATTCAAGATCTCGATAACGGTCAAGCGATAAACGCAGTACCAGAAGAGTATTAGCTATTCTACAAAGAACTGAATAGGCTAAAGGATGAAGAGATCAAGAGCCGAGGCCATTTTATGGATTCCTCTACACGATCTACTCAACCAAGTATTGCAGAGATCGTAAGTAAAATCCATCTTATCCAAAGTATCCCAGACTCCTCTATAAAAGAATGAGTCTGGAATACTTTGGAGGGGGTATCTGTAGGCGTCAAAAAATGCTGAAAGATATCCAAACACAGCTCAAGAGGAAGTCATCCAAAAAATCAAAGAAAAGACAGTCTTTACTGTCTCTCCGTGCGAGACAGTGTTTGCTGTCTCTCCGGAACAGTGTTTATTGTCGCGCACGCGAGACAGCTCTCGAAGGATCAGAAACTATTTTGTATAACTGCCGACACATGTCCATTAACCGTCAAAGAACATGGGGAACGTCGTGGGCGAGAATCACGTGGATAACTGTCAAAATAACGGAGTTTGAAACGTGGGAATGCAGTTACAGTGGAAACTGCTGGGCAGTTGGGTTTTCCGAGACAGTGTTTACTGTCTCGGAACCCGAGACAGTAAACTCTGTCTCGGCCGCCGAGACAGCAAACACTGTCTCGGCAGCCGAGACAGCAAACGCTATCTCGCGAGCACATTTTCTCTAACTGTTCCTAGGGGCTATAAATACCCCCCATAGATCATTTTTTGAAAGAGGCGGATCAGAGAGCATTGGCTGAGCATTTTTGGAGCAGATAGAGCATAGTACTTGAGCTTCTGGCAATTCCTTAAGATTCGAGCTTTGACTTGATCTTAAGAAGAGTGATCGTCTTACTTTGATAAGATCTTCACTTCAAATTCCTACTTCGATAAACGAAGAAAGAATCACTAAACCCCTTACGATTCAATCAGAATCTGTGATTTGGTGGTCCACGAGGCAAAGCGCTCCCGGCACAGGCAAAGTCCCACAAAACAAGAATCGATAAACGATTTTTGTGTTATTTTCCAAGAAAGTTGTAATTTTCTCAATTTTTCATTGTAATTCTCTATAAACAATCTAAGTTTCAATGGAATCATCAATGAAAACAACTTTCGGCGAAAACATGTATGTTTTCATGTATGTATGTAACTATGTATGGATGTGCAAGCAATGAGGGGTTATGAAAACTTAAGCATGTATGTATCTTCATTTATGTATGAATAGATGTGTTGGAGGTTATTTCGGAAAGAAATATTTTAACATGACAACCCACTTTTATAATATCATTAGATTACATAAGTCAACTTTCTTGGTACAAGTGACAACAAGAGAGTGGACAACGTAATAATTGCCTTTTTTGCACGAGCACCTAACTGTTTTAGGGAAAATTACGTCAAGGCCCCAAAATAATAACTTCATGTGCTGCAGCCTCTCTAACTTTTTCCCATGTGCTGCAGCCCTCAAATTGGAGATCTATATGTTGCAACCTTTATTTAGCAATTATTCCCTGCCAACTAAGTATAGAGAGAGAATAACAAAAATCACAAAATGCGCTCATCTCTTCCATTCTTTTCTCACTAAATCTAATAGTTATGGCTCCTCATTCCTCCTCTTTTCTAACACATCACCTTCCTCCTCTCCCCCTCTTCCTCCTTTTTCTCTCGAACACTGACATCCCCTTCCGCCACCACCGAATTTAGGTGCACGCTCTGGCCATATTGTTGATCTGGGGGTATATATTACACAAGAAAAACTCAATATGATTCATTTTTTCTCCCACTAATTTTCCCCACTCTCTCTTTCTTTTCTCCCCTAAAGCAAAACAAGCCCAAATTTGGTCGGCAATGGCAATGGCAATGGCGAAACCCTCAAATTCGTCGAAGTTCTCGTCGGAGGATCCGTTAAATAACATATCGGTCTTTGACACTGAAGGCAAAGAACAAGGTAGAGGAGACGATGTTGGAGGACGACGACGAGGAGCTCGTATGTTAAGTCTAATAAAATTCGTAATTTCTGTTTGAACATCATGGAAAGATGAAAATTTAAAGAAATGTTGACTAAATATGATTTTTTTTTGATGATTTTTATGTTAAGTTCAAATCCAAGGTGAAACATTAAGTAAAATCCAAGGTGAAACATTAAGTCTAATGAGTTGGAAGTGAAGTCTAAGGGCTTGTATACTAAGTCTATTGGGTTGAATAAGTCCAAGGGATTGTATGTTAAGTGTATTGGGCTAAATAATAAATCTAATTTATTGAATATTAAGCGTAATGGATTATATATTAAGTCCAATTTGGTTCATGTTAAGTCCAATTCGGCTCATAATAATTCCAATTCGGTTCATGTTAAGTCCAATTTAAATCATGCTAAGTCTAATTCAGTTTATATTAAATCCAATTTGATTCATATTAAGTCCAATTCGGTTTATGTTAAGTCTAATTTAAATCATGTTAAGTCTAATTCAACTTGTTTTAAGTCTAATTTCATGTTAAGTCTAATTTAAATCATGTTAATCTAATTTAATTTATTTTAAGTCTAATTTAAACCATGTTATGTCTGATTCAATTTGTTTTAAGTCAAAAAACAAGTTGAATTAGACTTAACATGAATCATGTTAAGTCTAATTCAATTGTTTTAAGTCTAATTTCATATTAAGTCCAATTTGATTCATGTTAAGTTCAATTTGATTCATGTTAGTTCAGTTTGATTCATGTTAAGTCCAATTCAACTTGTTTTAAGTCTAATTTCATATTAAATCCAATTTGATTTATGTTAAGTCTAATTTGATACATGTTAAGTTCAATTCAGTTCAGTTTGATTCATATTAAGTCTAATTTAATTCATTTTAAGTTTAACTTAAATCATGTTATGTCTAATTTAACTTGTTTTAAGTCTAAAAACAAGTTGAATTATGCTTAACATGAATCATGTTAAGTCTATTTAAACTTATTTTAAGTCTAATTGCATGTTAAGTCCAATTTGATTCATGTTAAGACTAATTTAATTCTTTTTAAGTCTGATTTCAATCATGTTAAATTCCTTTTTTAAGTCTAATTTAAATTATGTTAAGTCTAATTCAACTTGTTTTAAGTCTAATTTTATGTTAAGTCCATTTTAAGTCTAATTTAAATTATGTTAAGTCTAATTCAACTTGTTTTAAGTCTAATTTTATGTTAAGTCCAATTTAATTAGACTTGAAACAAGTTTAAGTCTAATTCAACTTGTTTTAAGTCTAATTTTATGTTAAGTCCAATTTAATTAGACTTGAAACAAGTTGAATTAGACATAACATGATTTAAATTAGACTTAAAGGAGTTAAATTAGACTTAACATGAATTAAATTGGACTTAACATGAAATTAGATTTAAAACAATTTGAATTAGACTTAACATGATTTAAAGTAGACTCAAAAGGAATTTAACATGATTGAAAAACTTAAAAGGAATAAAATTAGACTTAACATGAATAAAATTAGACTTAACATGAAATTAGACTTAAAATAAGTTAAAATAGAATTAACATGATTCATGTTAAGTCTAATTCAACTTGTTTTTAGACTTAAAACAAGTTAAAATAGACATAACATGATTTAAATTAGACTTAAAAAGAATTAAATTACACATAACATGAACCGAATTAGACTTAATATGAACCTAATTGAACTTAACATGAATCAAATTGGACTTAATATTAAACTAGACTTAAAACAAGTTGAATTAGATTTAACATGATTTAAATTGGACTTAACATGAACCGAATTGGACTTAACATGAACCGAATTGGACTTAACATGAACCACACTGGATTTAATATGAATCAAATTGTACTTAACATATAATCCATTACACTTAATATTCAACAAATTAGACTTATTATTCAACCAGTAGACTTAACATACAATCCCTTGGACATATTATTCAACCCAATAGATTTAGCATACAAGTCCTTGGACTTCACTTCCAACTCATTAGACTTAATGTTTCACATTGAATTTGAACTTAACATAAAAAATTATCAAAAAAAATCATATTTAGCCGGTATTTCTTTAAAAATTCATCTTTCCACGATGTTCAAACATAAATTACAAATTTCATTAGACTTAACATACGAGCTCCTCGTCGTCCTCCTCCAACACCGTCTCCTCCACCTCGTTCTTCGCCTTCAGTGTCGGAGACGGATATCTTATTTGACGGATCCTCCGACGAGAACTTTGGCGAATTCGAGGGTTTCGCCATTGCCATTGCCATTGCCGGCCAAATTTGGGCTTGTTTTGCTTTTGGGGGAAAAGAAAGAGAGAGTAGTAAAAATTAGTGGGAGAAAAAAATGAATCATATTGAGTTTTTTCAATGTAATATATACCCCTAGATCAATAATATGGTCGGAGCGTGCACCTAAGTTCGGTGATGACGAAGGGGGATGACGGTGTCTGGGAGAAAAAGAAGAAAGAGCGGGAGAGGAGGAAGGAGATGTGTTAGAAAAGAAGTGAAATGAGGAGCCGACGCTAGATTTAAAAAGAAAAAATGGAAGGGATAAGAATATTTTGGTATTTTTTATTTTCATTCTTTCTATGTTGCAGGAAATAATTGCTGAAAAAAAATTGCAGCATATAGATTTTCAATTTAAAAGCTGAAGCACACCTAAAAAAAGCTAGAATAACCGCATCAAGTTATTATTTTTGGGCCTTAGACATAATTTTTAATTTTTTTAAGAACGACCTAATTATTTCTTTAATCGGCAGCAGTAATACAGTCATAATTTCTCTCCTCCCTCTTCCATCAGACTCAACTCATGGATCGCGAAGCAGGTGACTTTTTTTCTTGAGAACCGGAGATCTCTGATTTCGCTAAATCTCAAACTCCTTCGCAAAATTGATTATTTTTTTCTTCTCTGTTGTTCTGTTCAGTGTTTGAGTTCCTTGGACAAGTCCCGTTGCTGCAGAGACTCCCCAGTTCTTCACTTAAGAAGATCTCTGAGCTCGTAAGGATCAAGCGTTACGGTGAGATTCTCACTTGCTCTCACGTTTTTGAAATATTTTGTTTAATTTTTCAAAGGTTGCTTATTGAGTAGTGTTGTTTTGAAAGCTGCTAGAATGAACAATAACGTGTTAGATTATTGCGAGTTTAGTGAAATTTTGGGACTTGTTTTGATATTTTGCCGTAAAAACCTATCTATTAGAAAGTAGTTGGTAATTGACTTTGTGGTCCATTCTGGCGAGTCAAAGCCAAAAGCCTGCAATTTTAGTTATAATCGCAGTAAACTTTTGAGCATTGTTTAATTTTCCAAAATTTTCCAAATAATAGAAATTTCAGAAAATTTTGGTTAATTTTTCAAAGATTCCTTGTTGCTTTGAAAGTTTGGCTCATGCACACACATTGTGTTGTCAGAGAAATGTTGGTTTATTCAGTAATGCAGCAATAAAAACACAAATTTTCACAATGAGAGCACTGAGAAGGGTATAATTATTGGTGATCTCCTTCTCCCAGGGATCAAAATGGTGGGTACCTTGCACATTGCTGGCCTAATTTAAAGTGTCTTAGTGTTGGTTTGGCAGCCTGTTACTAGTAGACATGATTGTATAATATAAATAGCTTTTAATTCATGGAAAATTTCATGAAATATGCTATGGATATTTATTTCTTTTTTAACTCAAGTTTTTGTCTCTTATTCATCTAATTTTTTAACTGTCTTCTTTTTGGGCTTATTTGTGTATAGATCCTGGTGAATATGTTGTTCGAGAGGGGGAAGTTGGGGAGGCACTTTACATTATTTGGGAGGGTGAGGTATTAGTACCGACTCTTCTATCATTTGTATGATATGCAGTGAAAGAATTTAAAATGTGGTTCTGTTTCATATTATTGTACTCTCGCATAAGATTAATTATCTAAATGTAGTTAATCTTAATTATAAGTTGTTTCTGTAACTACAGTGTGATTTTCTAGAAAAGAAGACCACTTTTGAGAATATGGCATTTCTATGTTCGATGAATTTAGGTGGCTTGGCACTGGAGAGCTAAAAGAGAGCTGTTAAGTGGCAAGGAGGTTTTAGGACAATGAAAATATATAAAAGAATGAATATATCTACATTACATATGATACATAAGTACAGCTATGACCTAAAGGATGAAAGTGAAATAATACAGTAGAGATGACACTTAAGAGCAAAGTGAAACTACAAAACACATAGGTAATTTTTATTCAATATATAAGACGGCTAAAAATAGCAACATTTAATGAAGTCCTTATTCCGAATTGCGCGGTTGCTACATTAATCCTTTATTTCCATTTAGCTCGATAAGGACCACCTTCTTGGTTATAGCAACTATCATTTCCTTTCCTTTTTATCCTTAACCCAGACTTGATGCAATTCTAATTAAGATTTGATTTAGGACATGTATATATATTATTGCTATAATATCTTATATATAAATGTCCCAATACCCACCAGCCAGTATTAAGTTTTTCTGTCCTTTATGGCCCTGACATCCAAATTTAAAACACTGCCAGTAGCTTCTATCGAAGGATATACATATTTCTAGGTTCAAACTATTATTTTGATAAAGTTGAACAATTGGAATTTGACTGGACACACAAACAACTTTGTTGAAGGTGGTTTTACGGTATGAGGGTAAGTACTAAAGGACATCCTTGTTCAAGCTTAAACTTTCTATAATGCCCAAGTACAAATTTATGCGGATTCATTACATTAGAATTCATTTCGCATGGAGCACTTGATCTTGTGTTAAGGGTAAATAATAATTGTTTTTATTGCATTCGCCTTCTTACAGTCAATCAAAACTTCTATACCTTTTCTGTTCATTTGCAGAACCTTTGGCTTTTATTGACTTTTAGTTTTTTTCCTAATTGTATTCTGCTATGTTTTTTTGTGCCGCTGGAAATGTCCTTTGTGATGGTAGGCTGAAGTTTCCGAATCTCTGAATAGGGAGGACGGGGAGCTTCAATTGAAGAAATATGATTATTTTGGTGGTATATCCCTACAAAGTTTTTTTAGATGCATTTATTGTTTTTTTTATCCCATATTTCCTCCATTTAATTGAGCTTCTGATGATGACTCTAGCTTTGAAAGAATTTTTTTGAAAGTGCAAGTATTCTTTGAAACTCCTGGACTTTTTCTTTGAGCATCAGATGTTACTCTTCAAGATTGTGAGAAGGCCTCACAACCACTCCCGTAGGGATGTAATATTACAGTCCCAAAATTGAGTAGAACAAGGCCACCATTACATGGAGAAAATCACCTCACCCAAAATCTTAAGCTGGCGGATTGTAGATAAGAAATGTCTATCAAAGTTAGAACTTCCATTTTCCCTCACATTGGCCTTTAGTATGTGGAACGATCTCTAGCACAACTTGACTTGCTTGTGAAGGCGGAATACTTGGGGTAAATAACTGTTTTAAATTTTGGTGAAGCCTGAACTATTCGCTTGAAACTTTGTGTGTCTGGTATCATGCTAGTAAACCACTTCAAACAATACCTTGAGTAACATAAGTGGGTTATCGGCAAACAATGTATATCAAACAAATTTAACACTTAACAACCATGATCTTTCTGATTTCGGATCTCATGACTCATGAGAAAACCACATCCTACCTTTCCATCCTGGAAACAAAAACTGATGCATTAAGAGTATGTTTGAAACCACTACTATGGTTGCACCGTGGTGCTTGTATTATTGTGAAAATGGCCTTAATAGGAGTTTCTGTGTTCCTGCAAAGAGGCAGAGATTAAGCCTAGTAAACTGAGGGGCAACGTGGCCACATCCTTTGTTGTTACCATCTATGATACCTATGACTTTTGTCTCGATTCAAAAAATGGTGCATCCAGCACATCTGAAAATGTCACCAGTGTCCTCACTCCTTAGTGTCCAAAACTTGCAAATGTATAAACTATTGTTGAATATATACTATAAGATGAAGTATGTTGTTTTTTGATAAAAGCTAATCGTTTTCACGGATCATCTTAAATAGCTCAGGTTTGGAGAATTAGAATAGCTATTCTGTATGTGTATTTATAAGTCTCATTTTTTAGGAGAAACACACATACACAAACATTTCCTTCTGTTTGAATTTTGGACAATTGCCTGTGTCTGCTCTCCTGTGTCTGTGTTAGAATACATATCATGTCCGTTACTATAAATCACAGGTTAACAGTTGTAAATTTGTATTCTGGTGCAAGTTTAAAACGGGAAACATCCAATATTTCACTCTGTGTAAATATTTGATTTTTTTATTGGAAATTTGGAACTGACGAACTGTCAACTTATACTCAGTTATTTGCTTCCGTCCAATGGCATAAATCCAATGATATCTGGACTACTTTCTTCTGATTAAAATTCTCTAATGCCTGAGCGCTCACACTTATGCAGTAATGGCATATAATCATTTGTTGATTTTTCTTATTATCTGTTCTATTTGCGGGAAGTAATTTACCTTATGTAATGATTACTGATAGGTACTAACGATTCTGTCCATCAAGTCAATGTAATTGCATTGTCTAAGGTAAATGCTTACTAGTTCTTGGTCTTGCTAAACGTTCCTGTGTTAAATCTTTAAAATGCATGTTGCATAAGTGGATTCAGATATACTCTTATTTCTCCAATTCGGTAGCTCACATGCATCGTGCTGGAGCATGGACATAGAATTCTGTTGGAACCAAGATCAATATGGAATGCAGAGGGAACTCCTAATGACTTCTCACTAGCCGAGCAGATATTACAATTGGAGCCTCTAGAAGTAAGTTCTATTCTGTGTGAAGTTTGCAATACTTGGAGGCAAATTGAATCCATAATTAAGGTGTTCGTATTTTGTTCATCTAAAATACTCTACTATGAATCCAAACACGTGAAAAGCACTTGGTGACTTATTTCAAATGGGGGTGACAGAAGGTAATTTTGTGAGAAAAATATTGTGGTACTTTTTAAATAAAAGTGGTTTACAGTATTTAATTGCAAAATTCATGGAACTTTATAGCGGATTTCTGGAATTTTCCCTTTATATTTTGGTTGGATATGGAAATGATTATAGGTTAAAGAACTGGATGCTAATGCGAATATCCATAGGGAATATCCATAGGTTGAAAGATTGAAATTATTTAGGTTTTAAATTACTCAATCTAAAGCCATGGATGATCCAGGAGGTCTGGGCTTTCTTTGGTGTGTTGGACAGATATCTGGGCTTTGGTTTGAGAGGTTCTGCAATATTTTGATAATTCTTTACATGACCTATTTATTTTGAGTCTTCAATGTTTATATCGAATGTAAGCCAGTGCCTCGCCTTGTACATTTGTTTGAACAAAAATATATTTAGTAAGCTAGTCTTAGTATTTATGAAGTATTTTAATACTTCTTATTCTTACATAAATTTTTAATACTTTTCTTATTCTTACATTCTAACTAGAGTATTTTTCAATTTGAATGGTGGCTAAGCTGACTCGATACTGTCACTTCTACATGTTTTCTTATTTAGGTCAAAATTATTTTCTACAATCATTTGTGTGATTTAATAAAAAGTCAAGAAATAAAGTTATTTTGTTTACTACCATGAGATTTCTTAGCTCAAGACTTTGGATAGATTTTTGAGTGGAACTTCTTAAGAAAATTTAGAGGTTTTTAAAGGAACTTTTTAAAGTCCTAGGGGAGATTTAGAGTGTTTAAACGGATTTGAGTGTATTTAATGATACTTTCTACTTCGACTTTGAATACTTCCTATCTTTTTTTTTCTTTTTTTTAAAGCAATTATTTCTTACATTTTCAATTTCCTAATTGAATATGGTTACAGGTTTCTTAGACAATAGTAACAATAGTAGTTGATCACATTAATTGTAATCTACTTGAGAATCTCAATTAATTAATTCTAATAAATGAAGGGTTTTTAAGTTAACATTATCAAACAAGGATCCTTTATCATAATTGAGCTCTAAATTGATTTTGCTTCCATTTCAAATGAGAAACTTTGGGGGTTGTTGATGATGCGATATGGTGCTAGAGAAATTTTAGAATAAGTATTACATAATTATTTTTTTTGTCAAGCTAACGGGTAAAAGATTCTTAGTAATTTGAATTTGATGAGTTTCCTTTTTTCCATGAGATTTTTTTTTGAAATTAATTAGTGAGTCATAACAAATTAAAAATTTATAACTAAAACTTATTGGATATTTTTTCAATAAGAAACTCTAGGATTCAACCAAAAATTTACTCCCTTTATATATAGATTTGATATATAGATTTGTTACCCAAGCAAGGAGTTGATAAAAGCTAAATCTAGGACAAAATTTAAGATGATTGATACTTGGACTATAATCCAATTAGTTTATTTGATAATTTGATGTGTATAATGAAAATTATCTAAATTCAATAAAGAAAGATGCGGCTCTTTTTTCAATTTCCAATATGTTATACAAAATAAATGTATCTAATTCTCACTAACCTGATCCATATTTGTATTTGGTTTTGGTGGGGGCGCGCACACACATCTTGTGTGACCACCAAAATCAAATACAAATATGGATCAGGTCTGAGAGCATCAGTTGTGTTTCTTTTTGTGCATGTATGTGCGCGCACACATGGGTGCGCGCATCCCTGTGTGCAGTGTGGGGATGTGGGTTGGTTTGTGTGTGTGTGGGGTGGGGGATGGGTGGGTGGGTTGTGTTGTGTGTGTAATCACCTTGTGCGTTAGCAAGCTGCCAATGTCTAACATGTAAATGAGTTAAGGTGAATCATGCTTAATGTAGAATCAGTGACTCAAATATTAATGATTGTACAGTGAAAACTCAATTTTAGTTCTTTCTTCCTGTAGTATGAGTTTCTTTCCTCTATGCTTTTCTTAAATGATGCTATTTAACTTAATTGATACTTGAACTAGAGTCTCTGCTTCTGCTTATCATTCACATTCCTTTTTGAAGGTCGATTTATTTCGTGGTATCACTCTGCCAGATGCTCCACTTTTCAGACAAGTTTTTGGTGGACAGTTAATCGGACAGGTACCTGTCCACTAAGTTTTCTTTTCCTATTAGCTTTGTTTTATTTCTGTGATTTTATTCTCATGTTGTGCGTGTGTGTGTGTGCGCGTGTTAGGTAGATGGGTAGGGTGTGGGGTTGTTGGGTTGTGTGCGTGTGGCACTGGATACATGTGTGCATAGGAGTACGTGTGTGTGTACATGCATGTATCCGTGTGCTTACATGCACGTCTCCATGTATCTTAAAAATGACGTGCTTTGGAATTTGTTAATCCATTAATCTCATGGTTTCTTGCTTAGAAATGGAGAAACATCATCAATTTGCAATTACCTCATGTACGAGTAAAGTTTTGTTTTTCATGATTTTTTAACTTTAAGCATTTCAAGGCATGGAGGTCAGTTCGAACTGCGTGGTTGCACGCATGCAACTCTTGTATGGGACATGTTACTGTGGACTTTAAAACATGCATTGTTGTATATGTAGTTGCTCACACACATATGACATACACATGCGCACACACAATATGTTCCTCAAACTATTGCTAACGTGATTTGGATATTTATCTAATTCATCACAGATTTTATACACAAGGCTTCCTTTATCAAATTCTTCAATATTTGATGAGGGAGGCTTTCTAATCCTACACAGGTCTGTCTACTATGTGCATATATGCATCTGGTCTTTTGGGGGAATATATGTGTCCTTGTTTCTTTGGTTGCTGGATTCATTAAGTATGTGGTGCAGTCTTTTGGTTCAAATCTTATGAAAATAATAAAGGAAAGGAAGGAGGGAAATTGGAGTTTTTCTAACTGAATGTCACATAACTAAACTTGGATTTCAGTCTTCATATTCAAATCCTATCAAATGCAGATGGAGCTAGGTAGGG